CCTGCCGCCGTGCCCGGGCTACTGCGCCACGGGGCTGCGGAGTTAGTCCCTGCCTGGGCCTGGGTGTCCTGGTCGTTGCGGTCAGGTGAGGCACAGGGCTCGCCGTCGGACAGGAGAGCGACTGGCACGCAGCCCTGTAGCAGGACGGCCCTTCTGGAGAGCGCGTCCGTGTTTTGGAACCATCCGGGTCTCCTGAAGCCTTTTTTCATGGACCACTTGCAAAAACGTCACGATGTTGTGTTGCAGATCTTGGCTAGGTCACGCAACTAGCAAGACTTCCAGAAATCCCGTTTAGGAGAAGCATCTTGAGCGTGCTGTGATCTGGGAGATGGGGGAGTTCAAAATCCGAGCTCAAGCGGCAGGGAATAGCGCTGGTCCACGAAGGCTGAGCTTTGCAGTAGGAGGCGTGTTTGGCTTCGCTGATACCCAAGTCAAGTATCGCAGCCGATACGTGGTATTGCCGAGCACCTCCCAGGTCGGGGAGGGGGTCTTCCATGGAAGCTGGGAATGGTTGTAAGAATTTACAAAAATAAACCAAGCCGGTTTGCATCCTGTAAATCTTGCTGTCGGATGCTGTGCCTGCGGGGTCTGGCAAGGCGGTGTGGAGAGCGTCGAACCACTGGCCAGCGGGAACGGCTGGAGCAACGGTAATCACCTTGAGAGTAATGGGGTTCGTTTAACCTCCAGCTGTTGAAAAATATCAGCAGTCTTAAAGGTAACACACATGAGCTTGGGTGACGCCTCGGATAGAGCTCTGGTTTGAATGGCACCCATTGCTACAAGGACCTGCACAGCCAAACTACAAACTCCTCTTAGCACCCAGGGGTGAAGGGTTTCACCAGGTTTGAGTCCAGGGCGCAGGAGTTCACGCAAAGCGTTGCCCTCAGCAGTAGCTGGCTGTCCTTGCCAGTTGGAAAGGCAGCTCATCAAACCAGTTCAGCGGGGAGGGCAGCTCTGCCGGGCTGACAGGAGCCACAGGACAGAGCTACAGCTGGGCTTGTGGGCAAGGCAGAAGGCCAGCGGAGAATGAAGACCAGCCTGGTGACCGCCAGCGTTGTCTCCGTGGTTAAGAAGAACTGTAAACTCTGCAGGGGTGGATTTTCTAAGGCATTCTGTAAGATGATGTGGACATAGAAAAGGAAGATGTAAGCTAACGCCTGCTACAACTACACTTCGAAATCAAAAGACCAAGACAATTTATGTCCGTGGCTTGCCATGGAATTAGCTGAGAATCTTCCTGAATCACAACTAGCAATAAAATACCTTGGAAACCTAGAGAAATTCCCCCCAAATTGGAAAACTGTTACTGTAGTTCCATTAAGTTAAAAAAAACCCAAAACCTAAAGGTGGTAACAGAGAGCTAACCATGACAGCTTAGTTCTACATCAGTCGCAGGTTTTTTTTAATGAAAAACTAGTTTTTTGGAAAGAGTTTTCGTAGAAAATAAACAGCCTTGTTTGTTAAAATGAGCTTGTAGTCTTGCTAGATCTTAAGAGTTTTGCATGATGTAAAAGGTAACCATAACTGTTTTATATTCCGTGTTTGTGGCTTATCCAGTGTGCTTCAATGAATGCTGTCTGGTATTTGAAATAAAAGTACTTGCTGTTATATGGAGGTGAAAGAGTTTGTGTCAGAAGGATTAAAACTGTATTGCCGATCTCGTAACGTGGTGTTGCAAGGTGCCACAGGGATCGTCATGCTGCTGGTCACGGGCTGGCGGGGTTGTACATCATCAGGACGCTTCCGTGTCGTGATTTGCGTGGCTTGGCTAGGTGGTTACGAGTCAGGAAAATGGAGTTTAGGCCCACGTGCCAGGCGTGCATAGCTCTGCCACGCTGCAGTTCCCTTAGCTGAGCCTGCGTGTGTAATCCCTGAGGTGCGAGTGCGGCACCGAGGCAGGTGAAGATGATTTGAGCTGAGGATATCTAAAATCAAGCAGCAGCCTGGCTTTTCTGGTACAGGAACTTTTCCTTAAATTCTGTGTCATTTTCTGCTTCGGGAGGGCCTCCTGCAGCCCCGTGTGCCAAGCGGGGTGAGGCCGGCCGGCAGCAGCAAGGTCACGGCGCAGCTGGGGAGAGCCTCCTGCCAAGTCTGGCCAGGTCGTGGTGGGAAAGAGATTGGGACCTGATAAACCGGGGACCTGGCCTGGGAGAGGAGGCGCAGGAGGAGCAGGGTTGGTCCTCGAATGCTGTCGCTTCTGCAGAGCTGCTCTGCCAATAAAGAGAAGAGCAGAGGGAAGAGGAAGGTAGAGAAGCAGCTCCAGGATAATCCCCTTAGTTGGACTTCGCTGAAGCTCCCTGGAAATTGCTTAAAGAGCCTTAAAAATGCAGCTGCTGTGTTGAAAAACTAGGCTGCCCTTCTGAAATGAAACGGCGTAGCTTGGCCTAGTAACTCGAATTTTAAACGACGACTTTGTGTGCAACCGGCTGGGTAAGACATCTCCCCTCCGTTGTCCGTGGTAGCTGCAGGAGATCTGACTCTCTGCAGTGAGAGCGGGGTCAGTAGCTAGAAGTGAAGTAAGGGCTTTACCTCTGTGCTGTCGGCCGCGCCGGGTGGTGTCTCTCCAGGTGGGGTCTGGCTCACGGTGGCTCACAGGGCTGTGGGCAGTGGCGGTAGAAATGCCAGCGTTCGTTTTCTAGCAGTTGTGGGCATTCGTTGTGTTATTTCCAGGGGTGAAGTAGGGTTGCTTTCCATGTGCCACTTCTCAAATTATGCTGGAATTAATTGTGATAAAGGATTGCTATTCCTTCATTACTTGTCACTCAAGGATCACACGAAGAAGCTAAACTCCCCAAGTAATGCTTGTAGCCCCACGGATGCGTTTATGCCCTTTGGGGTGAGGATCGTGGTGTGTGCTGCTCGAGCTCTCCAATGCCCCGGAATGCACTGGAGGTTTCTGTGTAAACTGCTTTGATGAACAAAATGAATCTTTTAAGGTATAAAGATCTTTAATTTTTTTCAAAATAGGAGATAGCTTCTTATGTATTTCTGGAATACTGAAGAGTAGTGTTCCTCACCAAGCTATGGCTGTTTTCTTTCAGCAATCAGAGAGGATGGCATGCCAGGAGGCAGAAACAAAAGCATCGGACCTGTCCAGGTGAGCATGTCTGGCTGCTTCTCCACGGTTCCCTTCAGCTTTTGCTCTCTTGGCTTTGGCACGCAGCTCCTCTCACGGCGCTGGGCCGGGACCACGGCAGCAGCTCAGCGTTGGATGGGGCCGGGGTTGATTGGGTTGAGCCTTTCTCGGCCCTGCATGTGCCTCCTGCTAGCGTAGCGGGGCTTTGGCTCTCCACGACTGTTAGAAATATGTCATGAACTGTAGGTTTGTAAATAAAGCTTGGTGCTTGCTTGTCCCCGGAGGGGACACTGCGCAGTCCCAGGGTGCCTATGTGAATTCACGGGCTGTCTCGCAGCGCTCTGTCCTTTGTGAGCCACACAAGGACGTCTGTCCCTCCGCAGCTCCCAGTAAATCTCACGGGCTGCCTGCTGCAATTCCTTCAGTTGTTGCAAGCAGGGCACCCAGTAAATGTCTCGCTGATTGATGGCGCAGCTTGTCTGGAGATGTCTTGTAAAGCACAAAGTAATTCAGCACAACAGCTTGTACTGCAGGCATGAGAAATGATGGCCATTTCCAGCTTGCTTCTAGAAAAGAGGTCTTTTAAAAGTTTACTATTTATTTTAATAAAGTAGAAATAACACTGAGAGCATTTTCTGTGACTCCGTGTGCCTGTGAAAAGACAACTCGCCCCAGTCCAAAACCAAACCATGAGAAGCCAAGCAACCAGACGCTCTGCCTACTCAGTAAGGTCCTCCATAGCGAACCAAGAAAAAGGCACGAATTAGACAGTGCCTGTGGTCAGCGTCAGAGAGAGCCTAGCTCAAACCATAAAAAAATCTCTTTGTAATGATAGAACGTTTTCTGCTGTTTGGAAACATCATATTTATAACAGCATTAGTTACTGATCCTGTGTGGGTCTATCGAAGAAGAACAAACACTTCATTTCTGGCCAGGTAACAATTTTTACTGCCTTTGAGCAGTGTAGGTGTAGTAAAACAGCAGCCTTTGCTAGCCAGAGCGGGCCCTTGCTCACCTGGGACTTGCGTGATCGGTCAGGGCTGGACCATAGGTTATGTCATCAACTCCATGTCCTGGGGTGAGACTATTGAGCTCTTGCACTCTTCAGATGCTGTACCTGGGTAAGCCTACCAAGTTTTTCTGATGCTTTTGCAAGACTGGAATAAACTGTCTAAGCAATGTTTGGCTCTTGAAATTGATGTTCAGAGTCCACTGCACTTTCTTGCAGCCTGTTAACTCGAGGTCTTTCCATGTTTGTGACAGCCTCGCTAAGGACATGCACAGAATTTAAAAAAAAGGCCTCAATGTTTTTATGTTGCATTTTCCCCACTACTAATGCAACATTTTTCCAGGAACATGCCCAGCTCTTTCTTGAAACTTTGTACTTCAGTGAACTCAAAATTTTCTTTATTTTTTATTTTTAGTCCATTTTAGCTTCATATATAGTAATCTCTAATACTTGTTTTAAGTATTAGATGCTTGGTTACTTCTTTGGGTGCCACCTCGTTCTTATCTGGGGAAAAATAGCGAACAATGATTCCCTGTAAACGTTTTCTGGACTGATTTTATGTATGTCACCTTGCCTCTCAATTGCTGTATCAAACCAGAGCCTACCCCAGCTTCCATTTGCCTCTACTGCTGCTGAGTACTGAGTGATGTTCCCGATGAACTGGCCTCAGTTACTCCCAGGTTTTTCATTGTGTGACAGCGGCTGATTTACGGCTCATTGCTGTGTGTATTTGACATCATCTTTTCACGTGTCCGTTCCAGTCTTCTGTTATCGTCAGTTGAATTGTACTGCAGGAACTGGAGGTCACCACGATTAGCTGTAAATAGAATTTTTCATGTACGTTGTTAAATGTAAAGGAAAGATGTGATATCTGCAGGAGTGGCAAAGCGTTTCTGCTGGTGCAAGGTGGTTTCAGCTCTGTTGGATGTGACCATGTGGTCCAGGTGTTCACATACGGAGGCTCTGCCTTGTTTCTATTCTCAGCTGAGGTAACCGTAATGATCCTGTATTTGACAGATATCAGAGGAAGAGATTGAGAGAATTATGTCTGGGCAAGAATTTGAGGGAGAGGCGAACATGTCATGGAGCAACAACGGAGACAGTGACCATAGTTCCCCTGGAAATGGAGTTTCTGAGAGCAACCAGCCTTCACCTGTTTCTACTCCATCTTCAAGGTGGGAATGACGCCTGGAAGAATTCTGTATTACAGTAGTCTTAGCTGTCTTTCCCTGAGTGATGCTTTGGGTCAACGTAGGAAAAACACACTGTGAGCCCATCTTTGTGTAAACTGAGCATACTGCGGATTCTTACATCTCTAATTCGGTTTTAAGACAGACAGCCACTGGATTGAAAATAATTGAACCAGGAGGTGAAATGCTCGTGAGCAAATGAAAAAGAAGGCATATTGAGTTAAAATTGTATTTAAAATCGATCTCTTAGTTTGTATTGGTAGTTTTTCTGCAGATCACGGGAACCTGATTACCATTCACTGCTCATTCTGCATAAGCTCTGTTTCTGCACTGTGCTCAGATTTTGAAAACAAATTACTCCGTTTAGGTTACTAATTGATGGTGTTACATTAACGTCAGTTACTGTTAGTGCTGGCCTCCTGATGCAGCCTTTGCCTGTAAACATGGCAAGAATCCTGAGAGTTGCATTCCATCTGCTTTCAGTTGCATCTTAAGCTAAGAGATATTTGTGTTCACTGACTGTGTAAATACTTAATTTACTATCCTAAATTCTGGCCCTTTAAGGAAGTTGGGATGGGAACGCTTTGTACAGTTGGGTTTCTGTTTTACTCTTCACGTGGCTGCTCAGCAGCAGTTCCCAGATCCCCATTAAGTGGAACTAGCACCGAGCCAGGCGCAATGCGAGGCAAGTGTAAGGCGTCTGGTCTGCACGCTCTCAGTTATTTCCAGAGTAGGGTTTAAATACAAAGGCATTTTCCATTCTGTTTTCTTTCCCTGTTTTTATTAACATTTCTGATGGAGCTGGATGCAACATTTTAATGAATTGGGTGGAATTTTTGGGGTATATTAAAAAGCTTTTCCTTTTCCAGTAGGTCCGTGGAGCTGAATGGATTCGCTGCACTCAGGGATCAGTATATCGGGACGCCGGTGTCCACGCACTATCAGTACCTCCCGCACCTTTTTAGCTATTCTGCTCACTCGGCTCTCATGCCCCCCCAAACGCGCAGCCTGGACCCCCAGTCGCACAGCCTCATCAATCAGTTAGTGTCAGCAGAGGACCTGGAGCCGCTCGGCACGCCGATGCTCATCGAGGACGGGTGAGTGTGTGCGGTGCGGTGCAAGAGGCTGCCCGGAGCTGCCTGTTCCTGGCTGTCCTTTCAGTCTGGCTGTCCCTGCCGGCACACACGGCTGACGAC